TCTAAAATATTTTCAGATTTCTAGCACTTCCGGTTATACCGGAAGTCGCCACCTACTTTATTTTTTTAAATGGAACACCCTGTATATTTTTACATATTTGGATTTGTCTGTTTTCAAGGTTTATAAATAACTTTACTTTTTGCAATTTGATTCTGCCGTTCTCGAGTTATTCGAATTTTTCTAGAAAAATCTGCTCCAGCAGACATTTGTTCAAAAAATCAGAGAACACTCGATTTTTGGGATATCAATTTAGGATTCAGAATATGCTTAAACAACATGATGGAGTATGTTTTGGTGCCGAGAACGGTTATCTAGAACGTTTGGCCACTTTACTATGACACGTTAACTTTTCAAAATTTGGAAGTACTAATAACTTCATTTTTTTAAATGGCACCCCCTATATTTTATTTTTTAGTCGTCTTCAGTGTCTCATTCTACATCTTTTATATCCCATATGGCCCATACCTAATATTAATAGTTTGGGAGATAATTAGGGTTTTTTGAAAAATGCACACATATCATATGGATATTTAGCCTAGTGTGCCATGGAAAACAAATGTTTAATGACTTATTGACAAACGTCAAAGTCTGATTGGCCGAGAACGGCCGAATCAAATTGCAAAAAGTAAAGTTATTTATAAACCTTCAAAGCAGACAAATCCAAATATGTAAAAATATACAGGGTGTTCCATTTAAAAAAATAAAGTAGGTGGCGACTTCCGGTATAACCGGAAGTGCTAGAAAACTGAAAATATTTTAGACGAAGAGAACGTAATTGATAATACTTAAGTTTGAATTCTCAATTTTTTATTTTGGCCAGAACCACAGAAATGTCTAATGGCCGGTGTCGCTGAGACACCCTGTATAGAGGAGTCGGGTGTTTAGTGATGGAAAAATATTTAAAAGCTGTAAAACCTCCTCGACACCTCTGTGGATAAAAGAGGATTATTGATTATAAATAAATAAATGTACAAAACGTTGTAATTTCATCATTTCAGCTTCTCCGGTTAATAAGACTTCGCAGATTTCTTCCAATTGATTTTTGATATCACATTATTTGATCCTTGGTATTTTAGAAGTTATTTTTAGATATAGGGTCGATATTCTTAAAAGAGTATGCTTTGGCAATAGCGATTTTGTATCTATTCACGCTGTCGCCGAGGTTGCGAGATTCCTTACACTTCAGGGTTTGCTAAAACTTATTATATAATGTTTGTGGAATACTTTGATAATGTACTTCAGCGCAACATTTTATTGTTAATGATATACTTAATAACCTTCAAATTATTTCATAATTTAAGCATTTATTATAAAAGAATTAAGAGAAAAAAATCAATCTAAAAATTTGAATTTCAAATTCTTCCTTCCACCGAACTGCTAAGTTTAACCTACTTTGTCTTAAAATAAACCGCGTCATATTTTTCAACTAAATCGGCTTATTCGTTCACTCTGTTGTGAGAATACATCACAATTTTGGTACGTACGCGTCATTACTTTATTATTTTTTTAAATATAAGGTTTCTTTCCTAAATTGCACAAAATTCTTTTGTTGCAAACGGTTTCAAATGCCTCAATTCTCTACAGGGAAAGTTCATATAAACGTGTGTTCGGAAATACGTCGTAAACGGCAAAGAGACTGGGCTCTCTTTGAAGATAAAGCTTTCAGAGCACCTTAACGTCATATCTGCTATTTGTTACATGAAATTGTGCTTGCAAAGGAATATATTTGAGGTTATATCACGTTTCCTTGCAAAATCACGTTATCAATAAAATGATACAAAAGTGAAATATTATTAATTAAGTTTGAAAAAATGTTATAAAGCAATTTCTCTATTGCAAAACTTTGGGAGTGAATTAGCTTGCAATAAAACTTTTTAGATTAATTCTTCAAAGTGGATGTTTTTTTTTATATCAGCTCAAAGGACGTCTCAAGTTTTCCATTAAAAAATAGAACGTTTTTTTAAATAACTCTCTGCTTCGTAACCAGCAGATAACTTTTAGACGATTATGATTATGATTATGATAAGGTTTTTATCTCGAAAAATTAATACTATTAAATAAATAATATTTATTGAGAAAAAATCAATACGAATCGAGGTGATACCTTGGAAAAGTACCTATATAGGGTTGAGAATGAATGGAAATAAAGAAAAACTCCGATTCGCAGAGAAACGATAAATACACCCTCGTATGAAATTGAATCGAAATCGCATATCTCGCAAACAAGACCTGAATGTACGGTAATTTATGCCCTTTTCGTATACGACCTTTCCATCAGTTTATTCCGACATTCGTCTCCCCTACAAATCAAAAACGTAACCCGTATCTCTCGCCTGCATGCTTTGTAAATACTTCGTTAGCACACATTTTTAATCTATATCATAAAATTTAAATTAAAGGGGGTAAAGGAAGTTTTGGTTATAGGATTTGAAGCGAATGTAGACATCTAAAATTGCTAACACCTGAGTAGAACTTCCCGTGAATGTTACATACAGAGTTTTGATGGAAACTTCCTAACAAATCAGCTTGTTAGTTATTGAAGTGTCGAAGTTGGTGAATGTTCCCACGTGCACTAGGAAATGTCGCATTTCACCAACAAAACGACCGTTTAATGTATTCTCTCAGTACTCCTGGGTATTATACAATAACGAATTACACGAAAATTAATAATTTTTTTCTTATTTTCCCCGGAAAATTTTCACCCACCCAAAAAAAGCAAGAAATACGAAATTCTTCTTTAATACAATAATAAATGGGGAAATTAAAGTGGTCGACGTTGCGGAATATAACTCGTTTCTTATTACCACCTTCCAATCTTCAAGGATAATTATTATTCCAGGTCGGAACTTTAAAATTTCATATTTCTGTTTTAACATGCCATATATTTAATTTTTTTATTTATAAATTTTAATACTACTAAAATTACTTATCGATAAATCAAAAAGAAATTTAATTTACTTTCCAAACAAACACTCATAATTATTGATGTGCAATTTTCGGTATGAAATTAAAAGGGATTTTTCAAACGCGAATTTTCGCCGCGAAATGGAAATTGAAATTCCCGTGTAAATATTGAGTTACGCTTTATAATTTAGTTTCGATCTCTTAAATTTCGTTTCTTAAACGCATTGCGAAGTCGATAGGTTATTTTAGAAACAGATATTGCGAATTATTACATCAAAGAACAACTAAGTCTTTAAGAATGTTATTTCGCAATATTTTTTAATTTTGTGGAGTACCCCCTCCAATAAAAATCGTTTAACATCTCGGTTTTAATCAAAGTGTAAACGTCTTAACTTATCAGTACAGTTGTAGTTCTAAAGTAGAATTGACGTTAAATCATTCTCCGGTTGAACCGAATTAAAGTGGTTATTTTTAGCTGGTAAGTTGAGATTTTTATTAAGATTTAATCAATTATTGTTGGTATTAATCGAAAATTATTAAAATTGTAAAATTTAGTTATAACTTTAAAACTGAGAATGTACTTTAATCGGATAATCCGGTGCTGCTTTGACTGTTTCTATTATCAGTATTATACAGTGTTCATCAAAAGTCAGCAATTTACGCATTTTTTATACCACAATATAATGACTAATTTCAGGTTGCTATAATATTAATTGTTGAGTTTTAGCCGCATAAGATCTCAGCTTAATTGGTCAAAAGATCTAAAACTTGATTTGATAAAGCCGAGGCGCCATAATATATTGATCAGTTTCAGATTATGTAATATTAATCACTCCGCTCCAGCGCACAGTATATGAGATATACGAAACTATTTGGATAATTTATTTCCAAAACATTGGATTGACGTTGCAATACAAAACTAACCTTACTCAACATTAATTCACGGTATAATTGACATTACAAAACTACAGGTGAGGGTGAATTCCTTTAAGGGGCACACCTACTATCTGTGCAAAAAGTCAAGGCCCCTCACTTTAGAGATCGATATCTTCGCAACCGCTACATAAAAAAAATTGCAACAAAATTTGTTGTAATCACTGAACATTTCTACGTAACTTATGTTAATCTGAAAATTTTCGGATCCACGGTTTTCTTGTTACCGCGAGTTAAATGAAAAAAGTACCCGATTTTTTACGGAATTGGCAACTTTATCAACTTTGCGATTTTTTTTCTCGAAAACTATCGTACGAAAAAATTTTAATTTTGAACAGGTGGTAGTCTGATGTGTTCTCAATGAGTGGCATGTTTTATTTTTTCGATATTTCATACAGTTTCGCGGAAAATCGCGGTTTAGTAAGACGCCGTTATGTCGAAAACGGTTGGGTGGATTTCTTCGCGGATTTGACCAAAATATGTCAAATAATGTTGGTTGTCGGATTCCGTTATCAGTTTTTCAATATTAAGACTCTCTATTTTTTTAAGAGCGACTTAATGGAATTACAAATTAAAAAGAAACAGAAATAAGCTCTGCGGGGTGACGAGGGTTCCGGCCAATCGGAACAGATGTTGCGTCCCAGACAGGACGTCGCGCCTTATTTCTTTATGTAGGCAAGATAAAGGCGCGACGTACTGTCTGTAACGCACCATCTGTTCCGATTGGACGGAACCTTCCTCTCCCCGCATAGCTGATTTCTGTTTCTCTTTAATTTGTAATTCCTTTAAATCGCTCTTAAAAAATTAGGGAGCCTTATTTTTGAAAAACTGATAACGGAATCCGAAAATCCGCGTTATTTAACATATTTTGGTAAAAACCGCGTTGAAATTCGCCAGGTCGTTTTCGAAATAACAGCATCCTACTAAACCGCGATTTTCCGCGAAACTATATGGAATATCGAAAAAATAAAATATGCCCCACATTAAGAACACATCGGTTTACCACCAGTTCAAATTTGAAATTTTTTCGTCAAATAGTTTTGGAGAGAAAAAATCGCAAAGTAGACAAAGTTGCTGGCACTCTCAAAAATCGGGTACTTTTTTCATTTAACTCGCGATAAAAATAAAACCGCGGACCCGAAAATTTCCAAATTAACATGTGATACGCAGAAATGTTCACTGATTACAATAAACTTTACAGCAATTTTTTCCATCGAGCGGTTACGAAGATATCGATCTCTAAAGTGAGGGGCCTTGACTTTTTGCACGGATAGTAAATATCT